ATAATGAAGAACGGGATATTACCTTAACACTCATGTTCCATCGCTATGGACGCAACAACATATGGTTGACAGACATTATTCCTAATGAATTTAAAACCATGATCACCTACATGCAACACTATATGTTTATGTACATGCAGATTTAGTACAAAACTGCAGAAAATTTTGTCTCCAGGTTGTGCTAGCTCCCAGGAAAAAAATTCTTTTTTTGCTGCCCTGTCTACCTATTTGACGCATAAGGCCATAGAATATTGATCTAAATAACTTAATACACTGTATGTATTGTATGAATGATTTACTGTACTCTACTGCACTTATAAACTTATGGAATGCTTATAATGGTGTATTTATTTTATATCATTGAAGACATTTTTCAGAATTGGACAATAAGTTAAAATTTGAATGCTGGAAATGCCTGAACAAAGGTAACTAAATCTGTACTTAATTCAAACGCACTATCCTAAACTTTGCACAAGCTTAATTAATATATTATAGGAAATCAAGATCATCTTGCTATCAAACCCTATCATCTGGTTGATGATTAGTGAGTCTAGGGTAATCCATCCTCAGTGGCAAACTAGAATAGTCTGATATGCTGTACACTGGGTCAAAATAGCAAAATCAAACTTAAATGTTGTATATCATAATTCGTCAGGAAAAACTGCAAAATCTAACCTATATTATAATGTATTGTTAGCTCTTGATAAGCAAATGTCAGATTTGATAAATGTCCTGGAGCAAAATACTATAGACCGAGAAATAAAGAAAGAGCATCGGAACACTCTTAAGGTAACAAATATAACAAATAATTCTTGGTATCGCGTGTTATGACGCCACAGCTGCAGATAATAGTTTTCTACATGTAGATATGATGTCAGAGCTGCATGCAGAGGATATAATCGCAACTCCTGCACTAAGCCAGCTTGTTTGCACGAAGGAAAAATAAAGCCATCACGGCAAGATTTTTCTTGGAAACTGAAAGCAATTTATAGAATCAGGAAAATCTTGAGCGAAAAATGAGCTAAAAGTATTTCTCAGGGACATTTTACGATACGCCTGCCAAGAAAGCAGGGCAAATATGTAGCACCAGTCTATTTTCATGCAAAATTTCATGGTAGCAAAAAAGATGAGCGAATCATGAATTTTTTCTGTGTTGGTGTAAAACTATTTTTCTAAAATATATTTTGTACTAGATATATATGGTAATGCCGGTAATATGCGTAATAAAATAATTATTGAATTTATCGCCCTCATCCAATAATTAAGCTTTTACCCACTAGATGTTATCTTATCTGTTGGCACAATTTGCTGAAGAATTTGAAGCTGAAGATTGCAAACCATCTGTTGTGGCAACACCGGTATGAAATTATTAAAATATTAATATTTGAAATTAGTTTGAATTCGTATCCTCCCCCCATTTGCAGAATATCTAATGGTCCACGGTCTCTTTAATAAACGTCGCTATAATTTCTTAATTATAATAGCCAGTGACAAACAATGAGATATATATCAGTTAATATTACAATATCCTGTTAAATAGGTCAAATATTAGATAACATTACAATATCATTATTGGGCTAGTATTCCAAAGGTCGTAGGTTCGAATCCCACCGTGGCCAGGCATATTTTTCAAGCCTGCCCGGTGTGAATATACACTCAGAGTAACATCACACAAGCACATTACAATATCATGTTAAATTCAGTTCTTGTTCTCAATTTGTGTTCAGGGAAGGAAGCGAGGCAAGTCAAAGAAATCTACTTCGGCACTGCCATTTGATTGGTCTGAAGTTAAAAAGGATTTTCTCAACATTACAACCCAGTTACTGCAGATCAATATTGTCTCATTGTGGGAGCCCCCTGTGGCTGAAGAAGAGTTTGTGAAGTATGTTCTCCCGCCACGGTTGCAACTCTTATCGCAACTCTCATCCTCGCGTTTAACCAAATTAAATCGACCACTTGCGTAACAGACAACATTTTGATCTCAACAAGTCTAGACAAAAATTTCATCACAGCTTGATAGAGCATCACAAAATTAGTAATATTCCAAAGTTTCGTTGCGAAATGTTGTAAAATGCGGATAATATAGCCTTGCGAAGACCAATAATACCCTTTGGGGCTGTCAGTTTCCCGTTTGTAGTACAAAATGACTGAAAAACGGCAAACTTCGCAAGGCTATATTGTCCGCATTTTACAACATTTCGCAACGAAACTTTGGAATATTACTAATTTTGTGATGCTCTTTCAAGCTGTGATGAAATTTTTGTCTAGACTTGTTGAGATCAAAATTTTGTCTAATACGCAAGTGGTCAATTCAAATTCGAGTGTTTTCAATCCATTTTTGTTTTTCAGTACGTTTGCCAACTGTTGCTACAAGTTCTTGGAGAATCCTGGCATAAACAGAGATAAGCCTCTGCGTGACTCCATTCTCAACGTCCTCGCAATCTTGGTGAAAAAATACAATCAAAGTCTGAGTGTCGGTGTCAAAGTCATCCAACTTCTACAGCATTTTGAGCACATGATCGCACCGATGGCACAGCTGGTGCAAGTCTGTGCTGTTGAGCACGGAATGAGGAATATTGTCGTTGATATATTACGGTGAGTCGCGCAGGAATGATAGTTTTGCTTGCTTGCTTGCTTGCTTGGTTGGAATAATTACCAGGGGCCGGTTGTATAAAACTCTTAATCAGTTTTTTAATCACTATTTTGTAGTTAAATAGTGATTAACTCTCAAATAAGCGCCTCTTATTGGATGATGTTTCCACTAACTATTAATTAGTCAACTTTAATCACTTTTTTATACAACCAGCCCCAGGAACGTCGGAAGCGGGCTGCCACCAATAAACTCTACTTCATTGCAATTATTTTATTCAGTTCTTTCTTGCACAAGTAATTACAATAAACTCATCTCTAATTGTTTGTCGTTACATTGTCATTGTGTGTATATATCAATAGGACAAAACCAATTCATTTCGTGCTTGTTGGGGGGGGGGGGGGGGGGGTTATAAAAACGTTATAAAATGCAGTTACAAAATCTTGCAAGACTTCACAACTTTGATAAAAATTCTTGTCAGGGACAGGGCTCGAAGTGTACTACTGTAAATGATCTAATATGTAATATGAGTTGTGCATGTAAATGAAATATATCTATAGAATGTCACCTGCCATTTTTTTTCACTTTGGTAGTTCAAATTTGTTTTTGCCTGCCATTTCTAACATATGGCCTGCTTTTGGCCATTGGCAGCCGGCTATTTCGAGCCCTGGTCAGGAAAGCCCGAGTGAAAATGCTCTTCTGAGGTTTCGCAAACGAAATTTTGTGATTGGACCAGGTTACTATTGAATACTACCTACACTGGAAGCCTTTCATACATTTGGAAGTTACACTCCGATTTTAATCATAGTTAACTATGTTTTAATGTATATATTAATAGGGAGCTTGGTCGAATTGATCCAAAAGATTTGGAGCGCGATGCAAGCGGGACGAGGTGTTATTCAGATTTTCTTGTCGAACTCGCTTCAAGAATACCTGAACATATCTTGCCAAACATCAGTTTGTTGCTTTGTCATTTGGACACAGAGGTCAGTTTTCAAGGGTAAATCTGATTTATTCTGTAGTAGTTTATTTTATTTGGTAATGGTCTATCCAGTCTTACTGTATTTGTAATAAAGAATAGGACAAGAAAGAACTTGTCCTATTCTTTACAACGTGCATAAGACCAATCCTAGAATACGCAAGTCCTGTATTCCATAATGGTTTGACAAATTACCTCAGTCAGGATTTGGAACGGATCCAAAAGAGAGCATTGCGAATTATCTTACCTTGGGTCTCATATGAAGACGCTTTACAATCAACTGGCCTCCAACGACTCAGCCATCGAAGACACGATCTTTCAGACAAACTATTTGAAGAAATAGTGACTGATGATAGCCATAAGCTTTATAATCTTCTTCCACCACGTAATGAAACTGTTCATATGACTCTTAGATCCAGTCATAGATTTAACGTTGCATTTCAAACTAACCGTTTTAAAAATAGTTTTATTATACATAATGCATTAAATTATTCATCATAAAATTATTAGAACATTCTTAGATCCTTTTAGAGACATTTAGTTGTATAGTATTTTAATATTTTCTTAACTTGTAAATATAAGCGTAATTCAGCCTATTAGCAATGTTTATATGAAATAAACCATCTATCTATCTATCTATCTATCTATCTATCTATCAATCAGTTCTCGACTCTCCTTCCTAGTCGCTCGCCTACGCCCATTCGTATTGGGTCTAATATTTCCTTAGGAAGAAACCTAAGCTAGACAAAGTATTGAATATTGCTCTGTCAGTTCTCAATTTATCCTCCTAAAAGTCCTGTGATGATCATAAAATTTTGGTCCAGAATTTTGTCGAAACTCTTCTCGTTACTGTTACGTTAACTTACTGTGAACTACGCTAACTTGACTTGATAATACAACTCGGAAAATGTTCTGTATATTTCAGCCGTACTCCATGCGTAACGGTGTTCTGGGAGTGATGGGTAAGCTCCTCGTACTGCGTTTAAGCCAAGATGATCTCACTGAAAACATGAAGAATACAAGAGATCAAATTTTGGATCACCTCGAGGTGAGCTACATTTAATTCTAAACCCCTAGCTGGCATTGCTGTAATTAGTATCAATGCAGGGTTCGTACGGGTCCTGGAAAACCTGGAAAGTCATGGAATTTCAATACTCCAAAATCCAGGCCTGGAAATCCTGGAAAATTAATTTTGGTCATGGAAAGTCATGGAAAATTGAAATTTTACATAACATTAACAAAGTATTTTACTTATTTCAATTTACCAGTCATTACAATAATATGAATTGTTGTTATATATAACGGATTTTTGCAAGAGCGAAGTGAATTTTGTCTTTTATTATATCTGTTATCGTTAAAATGTTAACGAATTTCAGAAATTCCAGACTTCCAGGTCATGGATTTTGAAAAAAAAAGGTCATGGGAAGTCATGGAAAAGTCATGGAATTT